AGTATGTGGTGTTGCAGTTAGGACGATTCCCTCCATGATTTCCGGAATTGCTGATTTTAACGAAATAATTGTAACAGCACAACCTCGAGAGTTATGTGAATTTCCTATTTTGCTTCAAAGGCAGAATTGTGTTACTTATTGTCGAAAAATAGCCATGTCTAGTGCATCGGCGGTTTCTACTTCTCCTGGTGGTCCCGTGAGGAATGTCAACTGGTACCGCCAGCTTTGGTGGAACACCGGTAACTTTCACCCCAAAGCTAAGTGGAATGAGGCGACGTAAGTCTCCTATTTGCTTCGACGACTCGATATTTTATAAGCTAGTGGCTGATACCGGCTGTTATTATCGTCAAGTTTACCATACGAACTCAAGACTGATGTGTCACTTGATGAGTATATTTTTCAGACAGATAAACATAATGTGAAGGGTCTTTGGGAATGGGAAAATGGAACCGTTCGTGTTATCGAACTTCCTTCAAAATTTCACGAAATTTGTGTCGCTGAGATAATGAAGTCATTGAGTGTAACACTTGATCCTGTAAGAACTACCAATTCCGATCTTATTTCTATGGAGCAACGAGTGAGTGTTTTGTTGGTTTTTATGTTACTGTATTCTAGGTATGTTTCTATTACTCGCCATCTTTGACTAATAGCAACAAAAACACCACAAAAAGGCTGTGAAGCGGATGGGTCTATTATACCTATAGGAAAACCTCACGGTGGATCTGATAATGGAGTACGAAGAGTTTTATCTCGTTCGTTCTCTAATGTGAATATGTTGAGAATTCTAAGGTTGCTGGCGACATCTACTCTTAGAATGAACCCTGGCCCAGCCTTATAGTAGAGATCGCTTATGCCGTAACCGAGGCGGAACTTAAGAGGAAAATAGAGACTTACTGGCTCGCTCCAAATAAAGTTCACGATGCAATTGACATCAAGTTAAACTATACACCGGGTGTGCGTCCAACGAAGATGACGGTAAGTAATGACATGAAGATTTAATTTCTGGCATTTGCCACTAGCATCATTTAAATGATACATATTTATTCTTTAATAGGCTTGGTATTATTGTAGAAATAAACTAACACCCGTTGGTGTATTCGCCCTCATCATGGTACATTATATTATTACGTACCTACAGAATTGACTGAATCTAATGTATTCTCAATTCAATATGAATTCGGCACGGTTGACCGTCAAGGCAATCCCATCAACATTGTACCGGGGCAATACGTGATCAATATCCCATTGAGATGCCTTTATGATGGGATGTCACCTACCTTCATGATTCCCTCACCTCCTCTACCTGACCCTATTCCCCTCGATCTCTTTCATGTTCGGTGGGCTGTTTTAAATCGTTAATTTGAGGATATACTGTACGACTCCTATTCTCTTATCCCGTGGCGCTGTTTTTTTAATACTACATTATAGTTCTTGGAAAGCCATTACCCACCTTGCCACATTTCTACATAAACATACAGAAGTTTTAAATAAAATGTTCTCTTATGCAGTTTCACTAGATCCAAACAAATGATAGATTTTAATGACCCTTTAATCTCACTTGTTTGGAAGGCGCTCGTTATTTATCTATCCTAAAAGAGTTTGGGATCGATATTTATGGTGCTCTCGCCTTTAAGTCGGTGCCACGTGATAGATGATGATTTCCGATCGATCGCCAGTTCGTGTTGCACAGCCCGATATGTCTTACGGATAAATCGACGCGATATTTTTTAGTCATCTGGTACCTCATAAGAATACATTATAGTTCAAAGATTTTTTTAATAAACTTTTGAACATATCTGCATCTTTATAAATAACGACAAACACACAATCAAAAATCGATGAGTTGAAAACTCGAGACTCTGTCGCCTCGTTGCAAGAATTAAATTCTCAACTCATTGCCACGATTGCTGAGCTTAGAAAGGAGAATGCCGAGATCAAAACCGAGAATACAAAATTAAAACAAGATAAAGAAGAAATCGAGGCCAGGTTTGTAAAACTAGAGCAGAGCGATAAAGAGAATGCCGATCTTAAAGCTGAAGTAGCGAAATTAAGACATGACATCGAGAAAATCAAACTACAAACCCAAATTATTTCTAATGAATTTGATATACCTTTTACAGGAAATATTTTGCAGCCATCCGCTTGTCCAGAATTATCTCAACTAAAACATAGCTCGACACAGGCCCCAGGGGGTGAATCTAAAGATTCATCTAAATCTCCAACAGAGCCTGAACCATCCGCAACCTTTTTGCCAGAAGAGATTATTGATGATGATTCAGTCGAGATTCTAGATTTTGTAGAAAGGGTATATAAAGAAAATTTTAATAGTGAAATAATGGAGACAATTAAGGAAAAGAAGCTTCAAGATCAAAAGGGTTCTTCTGGAAAACAAAACACTTCTTCAGGAGAATTAGAAGAGTTGATGACACCTCTATTATCATGTGATATGAAAACCGTGAACGCTGTTCACGATCAAGAAAAGACTTCACCAAAAGAATCCGTACAAATCATATCTCAAAAATCTATCGGGAATTCAGCTGAAGCTAATACATACGTGCCAGGTGAAGTTGTACAAGGTTTGTTACAAGGATTTTCGGTAAACTCTATGAAAGGAGAAATTATTAATAGTGAACCTTCAAATTCTGCACCCGCTGAGCTTGCTCATTTGTTATATCAGGCTAGTAAAGCGAGAAAAAAAAATTTATCAAAGCTAAGCAGGAAGAAATTTTATCTTGGGATTGCTATTCTGAAAAATATGAAAATAGATTTATAAAGCTTATATTCGAAAATAAAAATCTTAAGGATAAGACTGCAAGAATCCAGATTTATAATGAAATGAAGCCATACCTCATGGGCATTTTTGATGAGTATTTACGCAAAATAACAAGTAAGGCAAGAAAAATTCTTAAGCTATTCGGATGGAAATATGATACCATAATCCAATTTTTTTAACCTAAAATAATAATTTTGACTTGCTATTTTAATATTATACTATTAAGATTCTGTAAAATCTTCAAGATTTTTTAAAATAATTATTTTCTTTATACTTCTAATTAGTTTTTTTTATTAATAAAATTAATAAAAAAAATAATAATATTTATTAAATATAACTAACAAGAAAGTATATTACTATAATATTATCTTTTTTAAATTTATATTTAATTTAAAATTATTATCTTATAATATTTCTAATAATTTTAATTATCTTTTTAAAAGATTATATTGAATTTTAATATATTTTAAAGATGTATGATTAGTTATTCTCATAATTTTTATTCTTCTAAATAAGTCTTTAAAATTTAATAATATATATATATAATTATTAATAATTTTTTCTTATATATCAGATAATTAATTTAAAAGCTATTGATTAATTAGCTTTATCTTAATTTTAACTTAATATTGCTTTTATAATAAAATCAAATATATTAATAATACTATATAGCACTGCTTACAGTATTTCCAAAATATAATACTCTCTATTATTAAGATTCAAATCCTATTCAGATTTAATTTTTGCTAATTCTTGATTATTACCCCTCTATTATATAATATTTATAATATAATACTATCCAAATAAAATATCTAATTCTGTATAGAATATCCAGAATATTATTTAATTTTAAAGAAAGATATTCTTGATTAAGATCCAGAGTACTATAAACAGTGCTATATGATAATTATGAATAATGATTTAGAGTTGAATAATAATAAGATAAAATATTATTAAATATTTATTGTATTTATTTTAATTATTTATACTTTTAATCTTTATATAATAAAGCTATAAAAAGTAAAATAGTGATTAAAAATTCTTTAATAAACTTTTAATAATAACTAGTAAAATTTAAAAATGAATAAATTCTGAAATATTTATAAATATAATTAATTTTTAATTATAATTATTTTTTAATTAACTAAATTCTATTTAATAACTGAAATATTTTATATATTATTAAATTATTCTATTTAATATATAATTTATACTTATATAAAATATTAAGTATAATTTAAAAATATTTTTTCTTAATCATATTATATATTAAAATATTATTTAAATATATAATTATAAATTTATGAAGATATAGTTAGCTCTTACTATAATTATTATATCTAAAAAAGTAAAATTAGATAATTAAAAAAAGATATAACTATAATAAAACTTTTTTAATTATAATTAATTAGTAAATAAAAAACTTAAAAAAATAATAAAAGAATATAATTATAAAGAAATTTAACTATAATTATAAAATATATTATTTATTAAAATTATAAAGATAACTAATATATTATTATCATAATAATATAAACTTTCTTAATTTCTTAATCTTTTTCTAGTTATGTAAAATTATATTTTCTTATAATTTTTGTTTATTTTATAAATATCTCTATCTTCATATGATATATTACTATATTTATTATCATATTTCTATTTTTAAATATTATATTTTATTTTATATTAGGAATCTATATTTTTATTATTACTTATAATATAATATTCATATACATAGTGGAATAGTATTATAATGAATTAATAAGTAAGATTTTACTTGAATTCATCTTAATAATATAGAATTGGAAGAGACTGAAATAATTAAAGGATAAGAGAGGAATTAAATTATACTTTTAATAATAATAAAGATTTTTAAGATCTGTGCCAATATCTCAGAGATTGTCTCAAAAAAAGGTAATTAAATAAATAAATAAATAAATAAATCAGAGAAATTATAAAGATTAACTGAGTGAAGTTACTAGTAATTGATATAATTCAAGATTTGAATTGATTAAATAGCAAGC